TGACAGAGTGGATCAAGAAGTAGGGGGCGGATCTGGGGCCAAGGAGGCGAGCGCAGACGCCATTGTGTTCGGAAAGAGAATTTGATTCCGCCGAGCTACCAAATCCGACTCAGGCATCTGGGAAAGATCCATCAGACTGCCAGCACTTGTGATGTGGGATAAGTAGAGCTGATCCTTCCCTGTGGCGTACGGGCCGTGGATGACAGACTGGAAAGAGACATACAGACTTAGGGGGCGGAGCCAGGACCAAGGAGGCGATCGCGACTTGGTTCGGTTGAGAAAGAGAATCGGCTTGAGGCCGAGCTACCAGATACGACACAGAGAGGGTGATGTGGGAATCGTAGAGCTGATCATTTCGCGCGGCGTAGGGGAAGTGGATTTCTGAATGGAAGGAGAAGTAGGGGGAGGAGCCAGGTCAACGCTTAGAAGAGAAGTGATGTATAGCCATGGCAACGAATAGCCAATGAGAACGAACTTTCAATTTACCTAGTGATTGCTGATGACACTCAGCAAACATTGGTCCATCCGATGCCCCTGCACGCGTCCTCTTAGAACGCTTGGGCGCCTCGGCTCGGTCCGAATGCTCACTCGTGTTTAGACCTGCTGCTTGGTTACCGATCCCAACGGGAGGCTTTTGAGTGGTGCTGTTGTGGCAGTGAGGTTGGCTTCTCCAAAATCGTATCGAGAAATATTCGCTCGTACGGGCTTGAGAAGTGGGAAAGGGACAAGGGGCCAGGGGTGGGGACGGGCCTCTGAAGCTGCTCTTTTCTACCATTAAGAAGCTTATTGACTTTTGAGTGCAGAAGAGATAGTCACTCTCGGGCACCTTCACCAGGCTGCAGGAGGCGAGGGCGGATGCAGTTTGCTTGAGAAAGAATCGGCTTTGGTCCGAGCCACGAGATCCGACTCAGACATCTTGGGAAAGATCCATCCGGTGGCCAGAAAGGGTGCTGTGGAAAGAGTACAGCTGATCCTTCGGTGTGGCTTAGGGGTTGTGGATGACAGAGTGGAACGAGAAGTAGGGGGCGGAGCCAGGTAGTGAAAGCCGGAGGGGAGGAGGCGAGGTGGGTGAGGGAGAAAGCACACGTTTCTGGGCTCTCCATGGCTGGGC